CACTCTCGTTGGATGTGGTATATTTGAATATGAATCTTTTGGCAGATGACTCCCATCCAGTCTTACAGAGTTTCTAGGGAAACATCCACTTTTTTTGCTCTTAATACTCACAAGCTATTAGGAAAAGGCCATTAATACAGGGTTAAACATACTGTATTCAAAGTACATCCAGACTAGCTTCTATGCAAGAAGGAAAAATAAGTTCCAACCCCATCCTTTTTCTGCATATGACTTCCCTTATAATAAATTTATTAACACAAATATGGCTGTATGTATTGCACTCTAAAATTATTTACCAAGAAGCTAATACAATAATTTGTTTGTAGACTGTGAGCCACATTTGTTGCCCCTAAAATGAAGCAAAAAAGTCCTTTCAACTTTCCCACTTTCATTCTGATCTTGACCAGAGTGGGGGGAAACAGGAGGCCAAATTCATTGCTCATTATCTCATAAAATAATCCAATGCTTTTCTTACCATGGTTTCTCCTGTGTGCTTTCTTTCTTGATTGGTAGCAGCAGCTTTGGTTACTGATGCTTCTATCGTTGTATAAGCAGCCTGGTGCAAGGTGGCAGAGCATCCACGCCTCGCTGGCAGGGCCCCCGCAGCATCACAGCGTAGGCAGGAGAGGTCATAATCTCTCCCAGGCAACCATCCCATTCCACCCACTCTCCTGTTACACCAGCAGCCTGCTTTCACCCATGCACAGAACCCAGCCCTAAACTCTGTTCTTAAGCAAGTCTTCCCAGTTAATTTGCAAAGCTAAACCTTGGTTTTGGGCAGGAAAAAAAAAAAAATTACAACTGGTATCAGTAACCAGAATTTTAACACATACAGAGCATCTTCACAAATAACTGGCTTCCCTTCTTAAAACTTCTTTAACAACTGGTGAACATGCTACTGATAACTTATTTAAAAAATTATTAACCATTTCAGAATTTCTTCATTTACGCTTTCAAAAGGTGGCATTTTTAAATGACATCTTTCTGACAAAGGCAAACTATAGATGAATGGTGGACACAGAGTTAACTTGCCAAAGTTCCGTTAATTGAAATGAGTTGGGGAACAGGTTGAAGTGCAAGAAATTCCACTTGACTATTTGATCATCTGTGGACAAGGTACATGGGATTATCATCTTGCCTTCTGGTGCTAAGGCACCAAACCTCATTTTTCTGCCAGCCATTCCTTATCTTTGTGACCTCTGTTCATCTGATTCCAGACAACTGTTCTTCAGGCTTCCAGCTGCCTACAATATGGGCCAATACAAGTTTTTTTTCCATTGTCCTGGTTTCAGCTGAGAGGGTTAATTTTCTTCATAATAGCTAGCATGGGGCTATGTTTTGGATTTGTGCTGGAAACAGTGTTGATAATATAGAGATCTTTTTGTTATATGGACCTGTTGCTGTTGAACGGTGCTTACACAGAGTCAAGGCCTTTTCTGCTTCTCGCACTGCCCTGCCAGCAGGATGGCTGGGGGTGCACAAGTTGGGAGGAGACACAGACAGGACAGGTGACCCAAACTGACCAAAGGGATATTCCATACCATATGATGGCATGCTCAGTTTATAAGGAGCTTGGGGGAAGAGGAAGGAGGGGGTGTGTGGTGGCGTTCAGAGTGATGGCATTTGTCTTCCCAAGTAACCGTTACGCGTGACAGAGTCCTGCTTTCCTGGAGATAGCTGAACACCTTCCTGCCCATGGGAAGTGGGGAATGAATTCCTTGCTTTGCCTTGCTTGTGTGCGTGGCTTTTGCTTTACCTATTAAACTGTCTTTATCTCAACCCATGAGTTTTCTCACTTTAACTTTTCCAATTCTCTCCCCCATCCTGATGAGGAGGAGTGAGCAAGTGGCTCTGTGGTGCTCAGCTGCCAGCTGGGGTAAAACCACAACATCCATTTAGCAAGAAGATGGCAAAACTAAAAAGCAGAACTATAATTTGTTCTTGTATCTGGAGTTACTAGCAGAAAGTTCACATACACAGGGCACATACGCACACATTCTTTCTGACAAGGCTTAAACAGCAGGATCCCCATGGGTATGTCTTTTCCCTCCATGATATAATGAGAGTGCAGAGAAAAACACAGCTAAAGATAAATACCAGGTACTTTATTCTTGGCAGCACTGGTCTTGGCCATCCCAAGATACACAGAGACACATATTTAAAAAAAAAAAATAATGCTGGATCTTTCACAGAAATTAATTACAACTCTCTGAACTCCTATGAAAATGCAGACTTACACCCTACCAACATCATCAGTTGATTAGATCTCATCAGATTCACACTGAACAAGTCCCTACTTAATTCAAATATGCCTGTACAACGAGGACATGTAGTAAAAACATTTCCAGAAATTATTTGAAAAATGTAGAGTATCAATACCTTAAATGCAAAAGTTTTCCTAATCTTAATCACAGCACAAATAACAACTCTACAAAGAGGTAAATCAGTAGTCACTTTATTGTGAAAATTAAATATTGCAGTTTTAGTATTAATTGCAAAAAAACTCTGATAGCTCGTTTCTGCCTTCTTGCCCTCTCATGATGAATTAAATACAATACAAATGCAAAATCAGTAGTACTCTAAAAAAGTGAAGGTTACCAACCTACACTTAAAATCAAGTTGAATGTTAAAGTCCTGGTAAATGAATGGCTATGATGTTTAACGGCATTCTAAACGTAACGTATGGCCTGCTTAGACCACTGGTCCCAACCTCCAAAATTGCATCTCTGCCATCTAACTAAAAATGTTAATAGAAAACTAGAGTAAAAAAATGCTTGTTACCTAAACAGTCAATTTGGTGAGAATTTGGCCTGACTTCAGAGTGAAGTTTACTATTTCATTAACTGGCTTACGCAGGACTTATAGTGAGGCCTTGTAAAGTAGGGGGCCAGTTATTTGCTAGGCCAGCAACCTAGTTATTTCTTGAAAGAGCTCAACCCCAGACAGAGCTTCTGTGTTTTATTCTACCTCATTTCCACTTATAGTAAGGCCTTGTGAAGTAGGGGGCCAGTAGACGCAACCTAGTTATTTCTTGAAAGAGCTCAACCCCAGACAGAGCTTCTGTGTTTTATTCTACCTCATTTCCTATCAACCATTGGTTGCAGAGTCGTAACTACACTTAATAGTTGGATTACAAGAACCACCTAGCAGCTCTTCCCTATGTGCACAGAGTAAAGAAGAAATAACTTTTTTAATATGGTGAAGCATTATGTGCTACTTATCCTGGTGTAAAGTCCTAGCAGAGACAAAAACTTTGGGGAGGGATATGGGATTGTTTTGGTTTTTACCCTTGAGACAACTAGGTAAGGTTACTGTATTCATGAATGAACTGCCCTGGTTTATCTGACACTAATATGGGAATATTTACCTATTGGGATAATTCAAGAAGAAACAGACACAGAACTATTTTTAGTAGTGAAGATGCAGACTGCTTTCAAAGTATCCCAGCTGATAGCAAAACAACAGATCACACACAGTTTGAAGGCACCAACAGGCTGCTGTCTGTGTGTAGAAAACAGAAATAGCCACCGCCTCAGCGTATGGCTACCGCTGGATACAAAGGAACAACCTGAAGGGACTACTGTTGTAGTCCCACCACAATGGGACCTATGTTGGCTACTTTTCACAGGTTTAGTGTGTTAGATAGGGTTTGCCCACCAAAAAGGCTGCTTTGTGCAACATTTTGCAGTTTGGGCTGGTATCAGTCAGCCTGCATCCTTTTGGCACAGATGCTGGGATAGCAGGCTACTTGTTTGCCACAAAGGCTCCTTGCCTTTAACTTGTCCTCTCTGACACACAACAGTTTGCTCCAGTGACAGCAATATTTAGAGCAGGTCAGTGATCTCTCCTTTGCAATTTACCTTTTGTCAGTCAATGATAGTTGGACGGAGAAGAAATGAATGTTCTAATCCAAACCTCCAATTTCTGCCCCAAGTGGTTGGAAATGTGGTCAGTCTGGTGACAGATCTTCTGCAAAGGTAGCAATTTTCTTGCCACAGATCTGGGGAAGGTTTTGGGATCTCAGAGAAGTATATCTTTCTAGCTATTAATAAACATTTGTTCTGAATGACAGAGCATTGCTAAATGGCTCCTGTGTAACCCAGGACTTTAGATGTTGGGGGTGGGGGCAATTCTAGACATATGGAGATTTTTTGACATCTACATAAACAAAGCAAAAGGTAGGGAAAAACTAAAACAACGCAACTTCAGTTGTTCAGCTAGACAATAATATATAGTTTAAAAAAATAAATCTATTTCCTTACCACCACCATGTCCTCCTAAGAATTACTACGCATCAGGCAAGCACGAAGTGCTGTAATTTGCATTTAAGAAGAGCAGGTGCAGCGCAATAGTCTGTGTGGCCCACTCGTTTTGGGTTTCTGGCTTAAATAAGACTAAAATCAAGAGCGTCCGTATAAGGAGGCATCAGTCACAAGAGAAACCACGGCCTTCAAAATGCAATAGGCTTCACTTTCTCCAGTGTTTTTCTTCCACATGCTTGTCCTAAATCCCATGCTACAGGATGTCTTCAGGCAAACCAGAACATTCCCCTGATTATTGGTGCTCCGTTGCCTTTTACAGTCATGCTCCCAGGAACACTATTGCACTTGTTCAGAGAAACGGCCAGCACTTGCAAGGTTGAGACCTTCTCCCATAGTTCATAACTGGCTACACAACCCTCACTCAAGTGCTACATCCAAAACAAGGTGTTTGAAAAGGAGGATTCTTATTCAGTTCTGGATTACAGGAGGAGTGGCTTTACCCTGGAGTTGGACAGAATGGTGTTGTAAAGCCAAGCAAAATGTCAGGAATACTTGGCGTGGTTTCAAAATGCATACACCACCATTCCCGGTCTGAAGAAACGAATGTATCGCCACACAGGAGGTCACAGGTGGTCATCTCAGTTAGGACACAGTCCTTGAAGAACCTGATAACAGCCTCAAGACAAGCTGACACTTTTACAGCAGCAGAGAAAAACACTTTCTGTTGATGGAAGACACCTAGTCTCGAATTGGAGGCCTATGGATTGGAGAAAATACAGCTGCCCAAGCCTGTCGGAAGAGCTGG